CACACACACACACACACACACACACACACACGCACACACACACACACACACGCACGCACACACACACACACACACGCACGCACACACACACACACACACGCACATGCACACACGCACACACGCACGCACGCAACCGCGCGCAGACGCAGGCACTCGCGCGCACACGAGCGCACGCGAGCGCACACGCATACGGACACGCGAGCGCATACAAACGCACATACACATGTCAACCTTCTGATGAGGCGGTGAAATTCCGCCGAAAGAGTCTGGCATGAGGCGGTGAAATTCCGCCGAAAGAGTCTGGCATAGGGCTTCGCTGCACTACTCTTGAAATGTGCAAAACGAGAGTGAATCTTCCGCTAGAATATGGATAGATACGTGGCCATGATTTTTGTCTTTAGTGCATGTCAAGAGTAGTGCAGCGAGCCCCATAGTCATGCGTTTTCTGTACAGTTGTTCGCATACTCACTCTCCGGCCTCCCCCAATGACGCGAAGAAGTTCACGATATCGGGCGCCGCGCTATTCACCAGATCTGTAAACAACTGCCTGCGGCGCACTTAGTGCCAACCAGCTGTGATAGTCCGCTTGATACCTCTGATAGTTAATAGCAGGGTCCTTGGCCAACACGGGTGTGCGTGTGGGTGTGAGTGTGAGTGTGAGTGGGTTGTGTGTGGTGTGTGGTGTGTGGGAGAGTGTTGGCCTTAGACACTGCTGTTATTTGGTTGGGGGTGGGGGACGATGAAAAGGGAGGCGCAGCTGTTGGCAAAATGCTCGGTCTTTGTGTTTAGCCGGACCCCCACCGGCGGCCCCACCCCATCCTTGACCACCATACTTGGGCCAGGGGGCAACATGCATCCCCTCTGATGGCTGGAGGGAGACAACAAAGCTATGTTTGCAGGGGTCCCCTGTCTAAGCCTGAGGAGTAGTGGTAGGTAAGTAGTGAAGGTGAATTGAAAGAATTGAAAGATGATGAAATATTTGGGAGAAGAATATAACGTAGTTTACAAAAAATAATAATAATAATAATAAATGAAAACCTGGTGAAGGGATATCTTGACAATACACACAGAGAAGCGCGCGCGTGCGAGCACACTCGTCTGTGACGCTCGTGCTTCAGATACCTTCGGCAATCTTGACAATACACACAGAAAAGCCCGCGCTTGCGAGCGCATAGACACATGCGCGTCGACGCGGGCGTGCGCGCACACAAACACCGAATATCGGGCCTCGCTGCACTACTCTCCGACTGCGCAAAATGAGAACGAGTCTTCCAGTAGAAGATGAAAAGATACACGGCCATCGTTTTTATCTTTTGTGCATGTGGAGAGTAGTGCAGCGAGGCCCATCGTCTGGCCAACCACATACACAGAGACGCGCGAGAGAGAGAGAGAGTGCGCGTGCGACCGTACAGACACTGAATATCGTGAGGCCGAGGCACACACACACACACACACACACACACACACACACACACAGAGGGGGGGGGGGAAGGGGGGGGAGGAGCAAAAACCTCATCTGCGGCTGACGCCACGTCTGGAACCAGTCTGACTTGTCCACCAGTATTCTTCCCCTAAATCAGGGAACACAGAGAACGGGTGACGCGGTGGTACTTCACAGAGAGAGAGAGAGAGAGAGAGAGAGAGAGAGAGAGAGAGAGAGAGAGAGAGAGAGAGGGATAAAAACCTCATCTGCGGCTGACGCCACGTCTGGAACCAGTCCGACTTGTCCACCAGTATTCTTCCCCTAAATCAGGGAACACAGACAACGGGTGACGCGGTGGTTCTTCGTTCGACAGTACCCAACAGGCACAGCCCCCCCGAAATACATGGACCGCACACAAAGGGAAAAGATGGGTAAGGGTGCCGGGACGCCTGTTCAGGTACCCTTCCACGCCAAACGGCACGTCCGCGGCTCTGGGCCTCGCCCCACGGCTCACCAGATGTGACAAAGACAGAAGTGTCTGTTTCTTGTGTATGTTTCCACGTTCTCGTGGGAATTAGGGCCTGACCCAGGAAAATACGGAGGCCTGATTTGGAGATACCCGTCACACTGTGTCCCCAAATCGGCCACTGTGGAACTTCAGAGGTCACCAGTCACAAGGCGCCAACCCTTTTTCCCTCACCTGCTTTTCTGGGGCCTCGGCCCACATGCAAGGTTTAGTAGCAGAAAATGATACTGGGTGACACCATGGCAAGCGGGAAAATCTTGTCTGCACCGAGACGGCGCGGTCCACTTTTTTTTCGCCTTCACACAAATGACTGGGAGGCTTTTGACGCCGTCCGATGGGCACAGCAGGAGGGCCATCAACCAGCATGACCGGTCTTCGAATTCGTACGTCTGTTGAGTTGCGTAAATACCCCTGCCTCTTCACGTCTTACAGGAAGTCAGTGGCCGACGCCCCACACAGCCCCCCCCTTCATGCGAACCATGGCCGTTGGCTGCAGGACTCGCATCCACGGCCCACATCTTGTCTGCATTATGTCGTCGGCGGGAATGTACACTCAAGAACCCTCCACACTCGGGGGAAAAGCCTTCATGCGAAGGCCTATTCTGCCCGCAAATCCTACCGATGAGGAATTAGGGCGTTTAGTTAGCTATGACGTTTTTTTGGCGATAGTAAACTAAACGCCCCGCCCTCGCCCGTGTGTTCCCCCGACGTGCATTTTGCCAATGAAACTGCCCCGTTTGGGCACCAGAACTGCCAACTCCGCGCACTGGACTCACACACACCGGATTTTAGATGAATCCACGACCCCCTGGAGTAGCGCAGCTGTCGCAACTAAACGCGACGGTGGCATGTGGGCCGAGGCCCCTGTTTGTTTGTTTTCCTCTTTGTTTAGGCTCTCACTTTTCACGAACGGGCGCCAATATCATCCGGCGGTGTAGCTCAGTTGGTAAGGCACGCAAGTGGCATTCAGGAGGTCTTGGGTTCAATCCCAATTGGCCTCATGTACCTTCCTGGGCAAGCTTGGCGCCCGCCACCTAGAGATATGTCGT